TGTTGTCCGCTTCACTTGAAACGCCCCATATATTATAGATTAAATTAATTTATTATATTTTATATATATATTCATATTTTAATAATAATTTTCATTATATTAAAATAGTTTTAAGTAATTTTCAAATAAATGCGTAACCCAAAAGGTTAATCGTAGCTCATAGTATCAATTTATGAAAAAAAAAAAAGAAGAGAAACGACGAATGATAAAATCTTGCAGACAGGTCATTCCCTTTTGTGGGCGTCGTTGCTATTCTAATAAGCCCATAAACTCTACATAAAGCATGATACATGTATATGTTCGACTGTATATGTAACTATTCGATTCACGTTTAAGAATATACGGTTGGAAAATACGATCGTTTTATTATCCATGTGCAGTACTTTTCCAGTTATCGATAATTATCGATTTCCCTTTTTTTTTTTCTTGCAATTTTAATGGTATTAAAAGCCAATAACATACGAAGAATTTTTTTCACGAGATCTTTACAGAATAAGGAAAAGAGGTTTTTTTTCTTTTCTTTTTCATGAAACTTAACAGAATCGATATTTTACGCTGGATACAATCTCACGAAATCGAAGTTTGCATGGTAACAAAATCATAAACTCTTTCTTTAAATTTATTTTTTAATAACGAAGTCAACTTTTCTTAAAGGACACTACTAGTGTGACCGTTTCAAAGAAAGCTGATTTTTCGAAATATTTTATAATAATTTTGCTTCTACGGGCCACTATAGTGGCCCTCCATAAAATACCGCGTACTTTTACATATAACGAACATATACAGTTACAGCACAACAAATATCCCATTATGGACGGGTAATTTTTGTATTTTGTTTCTGTCAATTAAAAACTGTTAATATCAGCAACAAAATTACTCAAAAATTAATTGCAGTTTCAATGCTGCACGTATTAGCAGCCCGTATAGTTGAAGTAGCAAAGCGGAATACAAGTCCGTAACGAAAAGATTAAAGAAAACTACCGTGTGAAATGTTTTCATTTTTAAGGAAGATATTCGTGGATATTTAATGAAAACATGACTAAATTTTTGGATCAAAATATTGAAAAATAGGCGAGTTATTCGCAATCTTCCAAGTCCCTCCCACTAGGGCGACTACAGCGACCTTCACACTGAATGAAATCAATAAAACCAAAAAGTTTATTCAACTAGAAGGAATTTCCCTTACCATGAACCACGGTCGAAACGAAAAATTGAAATTTAACAAAATTGTGGGGTTTTAACAAAAACGTTTCAAATTTCGCGCCAAAATTTGATGATTTTTCGGCCTGCCAAAATTACATTTTTTATTTAATCGAAAAACTGGAGGTTTCATGGTATGCAGAAATATATATAAAAGAAGCTTCAACAAGAATCAAATCGATCGAATGATTTGTCTTCGAGTTCTAACTGCAGCAAATTTGCAAAATGTATTAGGAGGAACGAAAAGTAATGTCGTTACTACGCACGTCAAAATTTCATATTAATATTTCAATCAAAAAACCGATTGACAATTTTTATCGTTACGATATTAAAAATTTGCATATCAGATAGAAAAAGATTGTTGATAACGTGATTAATTAATTTAATATAAATAATTGAATTATTGATTAATAATAAAAAGTTGTTTGAAAAATTTATTCGTTCGAATTTTGAGGTTAAAAAGCGACATTACTTTCCGGTCTACCTAATAGTTTTGAGAAAAACTCGTTTAAAGTTTAAGTTAGTGATTTGATCGTGATAAATCAAGAAATATTAGATAACTATAACTCAAAAACTATTTGAGATATGCACTTGAACTTTGAGTATGTTATTTTCAAAGGTACACACCACGAAGGTTACATAATAAGAAAAACAATCGCTGTGTATAAAAGTGTCTCCAAAATATAGAGCAAATAAAGTTTTATTCCATTTAAAATTTGATAAACAAGCAAACTAATAAAGGAAGGAAAATTTTGTGTTTTTTTTTTCACCAAGGACGGAGAAACTTATAATTTAGATATTCTGTTCAAAAGAAAGAAAAAAAAAGGAATAATATATCATTTTATTTTCAAATTTTAACGAGAAACGTATAAATAAAGTGTGTGTGTGTGTGTGTTGTATTTGTTTCTATTGAAAAACACATTTACATTTCATTGAGTTTTTTTTTTACTTTCCCTCTTTTATGAGTTTAAGTTACTTATCTACAAATTACCTTCTCACACCTATAAAATATTACCAAAGAGTCGACAGTAAACATTTTATTACAAGTGCCCAGATTGCTTGACTTTGATGATCCGATGGGAATGATAATATCAACCCATTACCCGCCAATAACCTTTTTTTAGGACACATTTCTAAATGCGTCATGAAAATATTAGAAATTCTCACTATTTTATTTTAAATCAATCATTCATGATTTATATTTAAATAAAAACATAAAAACANAACCCAATTGTTTTTATGTTTTTATTTAAATATAAATCATGAATGATTGATTTAAAATAAACTAGTGAGAATTTCTAATATTTTCATGACGCATTTGGAAATATGTCCTAAAAAAAGGTTATTGGCAGGTAATGGGTTGATATTATCATACCCGTCGGATCATCAAAGTCAAGCAATCTGGGCAATTGTAATAAAATGTTTACTGTCGACTCTTTGGTAATATTGGATAGGTGTAAGAAGGTAATTTGTAGATAAGTAACTTGAACTCATAAAAGAGGGAAAGTAAAAAAAAAACTCAATGAAATGTAGATGTGTTTTTCAATAGAAAAAAATACAACACACACAAACACACTTTATTTATACGTTTCTCGTTGAAATTTGAAAATAAAATGATATATTATTCCTTTTTTTTCTTTCTTCTGAACAGAATATCTAAATTATAGGTTTCTTTGTCCTTGGTGAAAGAAAAAAAAACACGAAATTGTTCGTGCAGATGAGAAAGAGCGATTACAACGTTAAAAGTTTTGTGATTTTTAGTATACTTCTCTTACTCGTTTGAAAAAAAAAAAGAAAAACTTTCCCCTTTACCAATTTATCAGTTTGCGTAATTTAATTTCGTTCGATATTAATTTCACTCGTAATAAATAGATGTATTATAAATATTTCAATATAAAGTAATGGTATTAATGGACTATTTACTTCACGTCAATTTCGTGTCGAATCGAAAAGTACGATCGATCTTCTAAATTATTCCTTTCTGCTACGATTTTGCAATTATTTTCTATTATAGATATATATTATAATAAATAATTAATTTACTTTACAGAAAAAAAATGAGCAAACATTTCCAAATATTTTTATATAAGAGATTTCGATCAATATTTGGGCGGCTTACTTAGAAAGTGGCCCATCTCGATTTTCCAAAAAAAAATCGAGTTAGCTACAGTAATAGTTACATTTTTACAAAATCTTTTTATTCTGAAGCAATTTGTTACAAATATATATTTAAAATCAGGAAGATATTGTAACAAGAAAATTTGCCGATCAATAGAATGATAGAAAGTTTATTTTGAAAGTTGATTATCTCCATTAATCATTTATTATTTTCCGATTGCACCTGGTTGCTGTATAACATTTAGTTATGTATCAATAAAGCATTTGATTTTGCATATATTCCGTGTAAATAAGACAATACTATATTGTAAATAAGATGAGATAAAAAGATTCTGTAGTAACAAAATTATTAGAAGACGCAATGTTGAAAAAGATCAAGAATTCTGATGAAGAGTCAATAAACTGGTGAAAAATATGTTTGATGCGTTTTTTTAGAAATAAACCGTATAGAATTTTCTATAAGACATCAATGAATGGAATGAAATTTTGAAAATCCTGAATTTATTACCACGACAGTGTAGACCAAGAAAGTTCGAAAATATTCTATTGACATCACTGTATAAAAACATCACAAAAATTACAACAACAAAATTTAACAACAAAATAAACTTACTATGATTTATACGATATAATAATTTCATATTCTTTTTATAGATAGATCAATGAACTATGCAATAGTGCTTCAAACAGCAATTAAGAAAATAAAGAAAATAAATTATCTATTAGATTCACATTAATATCAATATCAATCGGTGAAGCAGGTTACTTTCCAAAAAAATATGTATTACCATTTAATTATACGTAATGATATAAGTAATGCATATTCTATTAGATTGGTTCATAAGTATGTTCTATTCTTTCTAATTNTTATACAGTTAATTTAATTTGTATTTGCATTTTTGTATTGTGACGAGTAATGGGTTAACGGATTTCCGAGTTTTTGACTGTAGTCAAAGAAATACCTAAATTATGTCCTGAATTTGGCACAAAACAGTTGATTTRTTGGAGTACATTTATAATTTACAATTAAAGTTTTAATTCAACCCGCCAATAACCCTTTTTTAGGACGCATTTCTAAATGCGTCATGAAAATATTACAAATTCTTATTATTTTATTTTAAATCAATAATTAATGATATCAAACAATTTTTATATTTAAATAAAAACATAAAAACAATTGTGTTGCAGTTATTACTGAACTATTTTTCTAGTTGATTAATATGAATACAATTATACAGTTAATTTAATTTTTTTTTTGCATTTTTGTATTGTGACAGGTAATGGTTTAACAGATTTCTGAGTTTTTGACTGTAGTCAAAGACATACTTCAATTATGTCCTGAATGTATCCTGAATGTGTGAATTATATCCTGAATGTGCTACAGCACATAATAGTTGATTTGTTAGAGTACATTTATAATTTACAATTAGTTAATGTTTTGATTTGTTTCAGTTTTTTCTCTTTAGATTGAGTGATTGATTGATGGATTGATTGATTGATTGATTGGTTGTCAATCGATCGTTCATGATGCTAGAAATGTTTCTTTGTAATTCTCATCTATTATTACTCAAATGAATGATTGTTCGATGCATGTCTGCTGTAGATCGACGGATCGGTGTTTAAAATTAATAATAAAAACGCTGCTTATAAATTAAAAGAATACATAAAGAAATTCTACTTACATCGGTGGATTTCTGTACTTTTTCTGCATGTGCAATATTGCTCTAGGACTTTTAACGAAAGTGTACGTTTGTTTCTTGTCCAGGTGTTCATTGGGAATGTTGTAAGCTGCCAATCCTTGATTGCAAACTCGACACTCTTCCATTCTTCTAATTGCCATATTTTATGTTGCCTTTTTGTACGGTTCCTTCAAAAAAAATTCAATTAATTTACAGTAACTCTTGATACTTGAATAAAAAGGATATTATCGAACTTCGTCGCGAAGCACGAACCAAAGATACACTCGACTCAATGGATCAACTATAGGTTGCCAAGGCAACCTAGGTAATTATATTTACCTTCTGTCAATACTTTGCCAAATAAAAGTAAGAATAAATCACAATTTTACATGCTATAGTTAATGCGATGTTGTAAAATATGAACATTGTAAGTAATTGTATCATTACTTTTAGTATTTAATATTATTTAAATATATAACACATATTATTTAATATATACACATATCATTTATTATATACACATATTATATAATTTATAATATATCATTTTAACATATATTACATGCTATAATGAATGCAATGTTGTAAAATATGAGAATTTTAAGTAGTTGTATATCATTACTTTTATTATATAATATATTTAAATATATAACACATATTATTTAATGTATGCACATATTTAATCTATACACACATTATATAATATATAATATATAATATTTAATATATCATTTTAACATATATTAAATGCTATAATGAATGCAATGTTGTAAAATATAAACATTGTAAGTAATTNCTTACTATGATTTATACGATATAATAATTTCATATTCTTTTTATAGATAGATCAATGAACTATGCAATAGTGCTTCAAACAGCAATTAAGAAAATAAAGAAAATAAATTATCTATTAGATTCACATTAATATCAATATCAATCGGTGAAGCAGGTTACTTTCCAAAAAAATATGTATTACCATTTAATTATACGTAATGATATAAGTAATGCATATTCTATTAGATTGGTTCATAAGTATGTTCTATTCTTTCTAATTAAAAGTACGAAAATACAGCTCAAACCGTACGAATTTATTGGATAATCGGATACAACGTATTATATACAATATTATGAATTAAAGGTTAATGTGTCTTCATAGCTCAGATGGTAGAGCGCTCGCGGAATCTTCGAAAGGAAATGCTTAAAAGCATGCCTTGGAGTATACCGATCAAGAGAATCAAACTACAAAAAAATCATCAGTAATAGGATACTCTACAACCTGGCGGGGATTCCACGAATAGACAACTTCATCATAAAATTAACAAGAGATTACTTAAGCAAAATGCCAACCAGTGCTAATAACGAAATAAAACGACTGGCGTTAATCGACGACACGAAGGTGATAACAAGGAACCAAAACTCGGCGTGTATCCCTCCGCAGGCGTTCACATACTTCGATAAAATTGGAGTGATCCAAGACGCCAATAACAGGCCGATCATATACCATTGGCGCCGACACCAAGCCAACAAGAAAATTGAGTTAAGGCCAGAAGACATCTTGTCGCCGAACACGGACTGGGTCTACTCAATGACAATCCCAGATTGCGACAAAATGGACTTCAGAAGGCTAAGTAACAAGTACTGGTGGCTAAGGGGAGAACCAGCTCATAGAAAAGAACTCATAGACAGAAGAAAGAGGGGCTGGTATGAAATATAAGACTGAAAAAACAATAACGAAACATAACAGTATTACATAGGCTAATATGGAGAAGATAAGACTTAACCCCATGATATACTTTGATACGACATAATACATAATGTACTTTTTTTTACTTTTTTTTCTTTTTTTTCTATTTATAACATTACCAGAGACAAAGTGATGTTTTTTCTTTTGTTATACTACTTTTTCATCACTAGTATAAGTTTCAACTATAGAATTAATTTAAACATTAGTTAAACCCTAACCAAAGCGAATGCCTTAGTGATAAAATTCTGCAATATTAGTACAGATAGAGATAGCATCAATGTAAGTAGCTCCAAGCGTGGAGACAAACATTAAAGAATGAAAACATGTGATATTAAAGGCCGGTTTTTAAGTATTATTTGCTGCCTAGTTATAAGTGTTAAACCTGTAAATAAGATTGTATTTTTAATAAAGCAAATAAACTTTTTCAAAAAAAAAAAAAAAGTAGAGCGCTCGCTCGGCAAGCGGAAGGTCCTGGGTTCGAGTCCCAGTCTTAGACAACCGAAGCCCGAATTATGCAATAGTTTTATCTGAATGTTCATATATACTAAATTGATAAGAAGTTCTTCCTACTTCCTCTTCTATATACCATCATCTTTGAAAAAATTCTGACCACTTGCAAAAAAAGACCCAATGCGAGTTGTGTGTATTTCAGAGATTTCCAGGAAGTTTGTTAGTGACAATATCAATATAGCGTTAATGAGCATTCCGATAAAATAGTTGAACAATTTGGTCCAAAAGTTGTTCTTAGGTAGCTCAGATGGACAGAGCATTCGCCCGAAAATAAAGCGAAGTGGATGGAAGACTCTTTTTTTGTTGCGAAATTACGTTTTTCTAACCAAATGATTTCATAAATGGTATGCTTGAATTAAATAAATAAATATATGCTAATAAATAAAAAGAATAATTTTTGTGAAAAAATAAAATAGTCATTCGATTAAAACTTAATTCAATATTATTACAGTTAAATGAATATTTTTCGTTTGACGATTATACACATCATCGTGTTGATTCGACAAAATATTTTGGGTACACAGTTTTCAATGAAAACAACGCATACTAATTGGTTAGAAGAATTTTATGTAGCATG